TTTTACCGCTCATTTTCTTTTCGTCCATTCTTTCCGCTTCTGGCTTTTGCCGCTCATTGTCTTTTCGTCCATTCTTTCCGCTTCCGGCTTTTGCCGCTCATTGTCTTTTCGTCCATTCTTTCCGCTTCGGGGTTTTACCGCTCATTTTCTTTCCATCCATTCTTTCTGCTTCCGGGTTTTACCGCTCATTTTTTTTCCATCCATTCTTTCTCTTTCCTTTCTCTTCCTGCTTTCCTTGCTCAACCGGTGTTTCTCGTTATTACCTGCATCATTTCTTCATTTCCATATCCTCATATATCCCTTTTTATTTTTTTTTCCACAAAAATTGGATCAAATTTATTCTTAATTGACTTTTTCTTTATTCACCCATTTCTTCGCATTTCATTTTCTTTCCCATTTTCACGCATTCTATTCCCTCTCCCTCGTTTTGCATTTCTTTCCATTCTTTCTCCCTCTCTCTCTCTCTCTTTGTCTCCTCATTATGTCGTCGATTTTTTTTTCCTTTCTTTTAAACATTTCTGTGAGCATAAACATTTTCAATGTAATTTCGGTGGGGAAAAAAAAAGAAAGAAAAAACCGGTCAAATTTTCTATATTTTCAAATTGTGAAAATAACTTTTTATTCAAAAATGTGATTGAATGAAAAATTTTAACAAAACATTTTCCTTTTCCATTCTTACCAAATGACAAATGACAAAACGATACAATCAATTTAATTGAAATCGAATTTTTTGCAATTTATGTCACATTGACTACTTCTTGGATTCCATTAGGTTCCATTATTTTACTGTTACTTTTTAAACATTTCAGCAATTAATTTTAAACGAAAACACAGCTCATGTCAATCCTTTGGTGAAAAGAGAGAGAGAGAGAGAGAGAAAGAAAGAGAAGTGAAACATAGACAGAAGTACTTAATTTTAGATTTAAAGGAGAAAAAGAAAAATTAACTCTTAAACTTGTTGAACGTTTATATTGTAACATTGGATTGTAGTAGGAGAAAAAAAAAAAAACGAATGAAATTCATCGGCGAACATTTATATCTTTCGTATACAAAAATATGCTCAAAAGGAATTCAAAAACTGAAAAATTGAAAGACTGAAAAACTGAGTGAACTGTATTATTGATCATATCACATCAGAAATATATATATATATAGTGATATTATTTAGTGCAAAACAAACGATTATAATTTTAAATTCAGATTTTTATTAATCAAATTTAATTTGCATAAAAATCTAATAAAATGAAGCCAAAAAAAAATTTATCCTAAAATTTGCATTTATTTTTCCAGTATATAAAAAAGATTTGTAAATAATTGCAGTAAAATTTGCATAAATTGTTAACAATTTAGGAAAACAAGTTAACATTGTATAAATTTGAATTATTAAATTATTTACAATTCTATTTAATAATGTATGCTTTCGTTTTCCTTTTCTTTGTACAATAAATTTTACAGTTATTTTGCTGAAATAATTTCAAATAAAATAATTTATAGTATAAATTCTTTCTTCCTCTTTTTTTCCGTTTTCATTTCTTCCACAAAACAATTTTTAATTCATTTCTTTTTTTGAAATTCATTTTAATAAAACATTTGTGCATTTCAAAAATTGATTAATTAATTTCCTCCTCGATTATTATCCATTCAACAAAAAGTCTTTTAGAATAAAATTAATTGTATTTGAATTTGAAAAATTATATCACAGATATTCGTTAGGATAATTTCAATTGACGATAATAAATCCATAATTTTAAAAAATTATTTATCCATCATACGTTAATGTTTTCAATTTTTCGATGAAATGATCAAATGTGAAATCATTCCATTAATTCTATTAATGAGTTATTGCTCAATCATTTGCAATGTCAACTTTTAATTTGTCAAATTATTTTTTTTAATTCCTTAAAGTATAATTTCAAATGGGTCATATTTAATTAGTTTTCGTTTTTTTTTTTTTTTAATTTTTACACTATTATTTATCAAATCATTGAAGTAAATGATTTTAATAAAACTTTTTGCAATAATTAATGTTTATCTTTTACAAGAATTATTTTACGCCAAATAATCATTGAATTGTATCAAATGGCATATGTATGTCAAATCATTGAAGTGAAATGAACAATTTGTAGCATTCAATATTTATTTTTATTTGAGATTGAGAAACATTTTGCGCCAAATAATGATTGAATATTTATGTTTAATGCCTTTAATATTATGTTTATTTTCATTTCTGTTGTATAATTGCGCCTATTTGAACAATTACATTTTAGGCAACATTTTACATTTCAAAATTCTTTTTGAATTTTTTAGGAAAAACAGAAATGTGATTAGTTATTCAAATGCGGAAATTTCCTTGGTATTTTTTATGATTAAAATGAAAGATTAAAATGAAAGAGTTATTGAAATTCGAATTCAATAAATCATAATTTGTTTCGTCATATAAATATAATATGCAAAGAAAAAAAAAGAAGCGAATAGAAAATTGATGATATCATTGAGAATTATCGAATTATTATTTTAAATTACAAAATTAATTTAGTACAAAAATTCCACTGGAATGATTGGATTATTGTAATTTCAGTACTTATTCTTTTTGGCTTTAAATAAGTATAATGTATTGTTTCAATTTCTTTTAAAATTTCGATTTCTGATTTGCTTTTTTTTATGCTTCATTCAATTTTTTTCTCATAAAATTTGCAAAAGTTTTCAAATTTAATAGAAATTTTAACTTCTTTACCTTAAAAAAAAAATTTCCCTTTTAAATTAAAAAAAGGAATTCAAAAAAAAAAGAAGGAAAATTGGAAAAAGATTTTTAACAAATTATTCTAATTTATAAAAATGAAAATGTATCATTGTACAATATATTTGACTCAACCGGATTTATTTGTTCGTTTTTGTTTCCGGAAAATCGAGTGAACAGGAATAATGCATGGATGTATGTTCATAATTATTCCTATTTGGTTTTAACATTAATTAATTGTAGCAATATTATATGTGCAATATTATTTCAAAATTTCGTTAATTTAATAATTCCACTTATGATCCGAAACAGTTATTAATTTGAATAAATTTTTTAATTAGTTAATTATTTGTAACAGAATTTAAATTTTCGAAATTTTAAGCTTTGTTTAAACATCCGATTGATTCAGAAATAATTTCTAATACACTGTAAAAATTTCGTTAATTTAATAATTTCAATTATAATTATTTTAAAATTTTCATTAATTAGAATAATTTTATTTATAAATTAATTTTAAATTTGCATACCCATAAGTTCAATGTTTGTTGCAAACCACTGAAATCTTATTGTTTCAGCTATCGTGTGCCATCTAATCCAAATGCTCCAAGCGGTGGTTGTGGTCAAAGTTGTGGTAGCAGTGGTAGCTATGTTAGCAGCTATGGTAGCAGTGGTAGCTATGTAGGACCACTACCATCAGCGCCACTTGGTACTGGAATAAATGGCGCTTATTTGCAGCAACAGCAACACCTGCAGCAGCCAATCGCTTATGTTAGTGGTGGCAGTGTGCCTTCTTATGGTATTTCAAATTTTTTACTCTTTTTTTTTTCTACAATAATTTACAAATTTAAGCAGATGAAAAAGTTTAAGTGAAAATTTTTTTTTTTAAAAAAAAAAAAGATTTTCAAACAGAAACAAAAAAAATTTGCTAGCATTTTTTTTTTTCACCTTTGAACTATTAATAATTAATGATATTAATTAATACATCCGAAATGATAAAGTGACAAAATTTACGGATATTTCCATTTTTTGAACATTAAAACAGTATTTGAAGTTAGAGAAATGAATGATTTGTAAAAATAATTTTGTTTTGATTTGGATAGGAAAAAATTGAAATGATTGAAAGAATGGAAAATAAATTGTGACAAAATTTTACTATCATTCATTTTACAAAATAATTCGAAATTGTCACCAATCTTTGTTTTGTTTCAAGAATCAATCATTTCAAATGATTAGAAAAATTATCGCTTTAAAAATGACTTTATTAATCAATTTCAGAATTAATAAACCATTTTAGGAATTCCAATTGTTAGCTGGAAATTTTTATGCATAGTAATTCCGACAATAATTAATAATTACTTATTAATTATTAATAATAATAATTGAAAATTGAAGTGAGATTTACCCTGAAATGAGATTTAAATTGAAATGGAATTTATTTTGCAAATTATGACTTCGACAAATTCAACGATATTTGCAGTAGGAATTTGTTTAAATTAAAATTATTGAGTATTTTTGGATTTTTTCTAATAAAATTAACTTAAGATTTTTGGCTAAATAATCAGTAATGATAATAATGGAAATTTAAAATGGAATTTATTTTGCAAATTATGATTTCGACAAATTCAATAATATTTGGAATCGCTTTAAAAATGACTTTATTAATCAAAATAATATTTGGATTTGGAATTATTAATCAAAATAATATTTGGAATCGCTTTAAAAATGACTTTATTAATCAATTCCAGAATTAATAAACCATTTTAGGAATTTTAATTATTAGCTGGAAATTTACTTTATTTACTTTAAAATGACTTTATTAATCAATTTATTAATTAAATTCAAATTTTTGAGTATTTCCGGATCTTTTTCAGTGAAATAAATTTAAAATTTTAAATGACTTGAAAATGAAAATAATAAAGCTATTTGAATGGATCATTTTCATCTTTCTATGTATATTTAATAAATTTGTCTTTTTTTTATAAATTTGTTGTATAAAATTTTGTTTTTATAAATTTATTTTTATAAAATCTATGTATATTTAATAAATTCGTTTTTTTTTATAAATTTGTTTATTTCAAGTTTTAGGAAAATAAATTTTATTTGCAAAAATCATTCAGAAAATTTATTAATTGAGATCAAATAAAGGATGGAAAATAAATTTACATAACATTAAATTGATCCTTTCTTTGTTATGCTTGAAGAAGCAAAATTTTTGGCATTTATGTTTTTCTTAATTAAAAAGAATCAGCAATTAATTATTCTTTTTTTTGAAATGGGATTAAAAATTCTAATTTTGAAATAATTATAGGAGCTGGTAGTATTGGCGGATCATATCAAAGTGCACAAATTAATCCTCCTAGTGGTAGTAGTTTTTATTCAGGTAAATGATATGAGAAATTGAATAACAGATATTTGTGATTTCTCTAAATTGTAATTTTAATCAATTTCTAATTTAGCAAAAAGTATTTCCAGTACAAATCTGAAAAAGTTTCATTTCAAATTTTATAGCAAAAAAATTTTGCATATTTAGCAATATCATGTATGATAATTTTAGGTGGAAATCAAGCAGCAGCAATTGGTAATATTCCTCCAGGATATGGCGCAAATGTTGATAGTAGTGGAATTGGAGGAGGAATTAATGGTTTGACACCACCGCCGCCAAATATTACTCCACCATCAGAATTACAATTTCCACTATCGAAACAGGACAGTTTTGACGATGGCTCGATGCAGCATACTGAAGGACAATTGATGCCTACTGCTACTTTAATTCAGCCAAGTTATGCTGCAGAAGGTAAACTAAATATTATCAGATAAGCTTGATATCATCAAACAAGCTTAACATTGTCAGATAAGTTTAATGCCATCAGATAAACAAGTTTGGAAAAAGAAGACCACCAAAGTTCATTAAAAAATGCAAAAAATATATTTGATTATACCTTGGAGACAAAAAGTTGAAAAATTGAAAAAAAAAAAATTGAAAAAATCCCACAATCAGATCATTCCTATTATTTTTCATTTTCATTTATGTTTTGTTTGAAATTTTTCATAAGCATAAGTTATTTAAAATTTATTCATAGCTTCTTTTATTTTAATTCAATTCCTAGCCATATCAAGTATTTGATTTCTGTATTATTTGTATATTCAAAAATTATCAAATTTTGAAAAAATTTGAAATTGATAAAATACCACGAAAATTTCTTTTTTTTTTCCTATATTCCATGTTATAATGCGTTATTAAAATGACGAAACTTTTGTGTTTTTAGTTACAAAATTATTAAATATTCGACATTTCCAGTAAGTTATCATTTCGAAGTAATACATTTCCAGTAATTGAATAATCAAATTTCAATTATTCAATATTTTTTATTTATAAAAAAAAAAACAGGAAAATTTTAGATGTACAAAAAATGGCATCACATGAACAATCATTTGGTGCTTATCAGGAAGCTGTTAGCGATCATGAAGGTGCATATCAATCGGAACATCAACAACAACAACAACAACAGCAACAGCAACAACAACAACAACC